GCGCTGCGTTGAAAAATACGGCTAGCACTTTCATAAAGATCCACCTAGGTTGACATACGGCGAAGCCGTCTTTGTCAGAAACTCAGGGGATATATTCGACAACGTTTTTGCTATCACATCAGTTGTAAGGGCTTCTGCGAGCCTTAAGTCCAGCACGTTAAAGGATTCATTCAGAATTCTTGAGGTACGTTTATTAGCCTGCTGCAGTATCCTCTCTAGCGGCAGGGTAGTCAAGGCTGTGTTCACTTCTGCACTCGTGAGAGCCACGGGTCTATTTTCGGCCGTTTCGACAGCCACGCATCGGGAAAATTGCGCTGCTGGTTCCTGTACATATGAGCGTCGCCCGGGATTCTATACCGACAGATGAAGGGTCAAGTCATAAAACAGGGATTAAAAACGCTTAAGAATTAGTGCTAAAGCTAGGACGTCACCCGAAAGCAAAACACGGAATTTCGTTTTGCGGTCGGCATCTAGGGCTACAGTGATCGATGTCGGCGAAGGAAATTATAAGAGTTCGAGAAAATACAACAGCACCGCTAACTATTCGAGAAGTAGCTGACTCGACGTCACGCCGGTAATCCTATTCCTAGGTCTTAACAAGAACGTGAGGGCGGTAATGAACCGTGTAAACCGCTCTTGCTCAACTGAAGGCGAGAAAGTAGCGCCTGTGATGGTGTCGAACGTGATGAGAAGCCACATAATCTCCGTGTAACGAAAGTCGTAGACCTTGAAGCTCAGAGCGTGCGACCACGAGAAGCTTTAAGAATGGTGTGCAGGGTCATGAAGAAGGTCTCTACCGCAGTGAAATCCAGGGCGGGAAATCCAGGGGAGAAGGTGCCTGCGACCGAACAAATGGCGAAGGCTAACAAAACAAGTAACCCTCCGACGGCGCGAGGTCAACGTGGAAACGAAACACTAACTTCTTCAGAACATCCCTAATGATCTACTAGACGATTGTAACGTCTTTTTTTTTAGCATATTGGGTGCTGTTAAAATATGAAGATTCAGTCAAAAGCATTGCTAAATACGAGAAAGGGCTGCAAAGAAAGATCGTCCTCATCACCAGTATCGTGGAATGTGGAGGCAAATACATCAACGTTTAAGAATTTGTTTTTCCTTACGTTATCCAATTCCCGCAAGTAGAAAGGGCGACGTGTCTTGTCGTTGTCGACACACCCTCTCGCATTCGAGCGACAATGTAGTCCCTGCCGGAGGCAATTATATCTGACACTTTTGCAGTTGCTACTTTGCAAGTGTGCAGGCTGCATATCTGCAGGGCTTTGTCGTGTCTCATCTTGAAAGGCGGTTTCTATTCTATCATTCCCTTGTTAACTATATGTACGATACATGTACGATACTTGTAGGGGAATGGGTGAGAAAGCAGAACTGCTGAAGAGCTAGTTGAAGGCATGCCACAGGATCACATTGGTGCAGTACTTACGAGTATATTGGTGTGAAATGGGCTGGCGGTGGAGGAAAAATGGAAAGACACGGTCAAAAACGCTAAGGTTAAGGGCTCCCTCATCTTCGCAACAGACATACGGCCAACAGCTAACCAGGAAGGTCGTTCAGGGCGTGCCAAGCTTTTTCAAAACGGTTTTTTGCATGGTATAGGGGTACATGCAGGAACCACAAAACAATGGTTTATTTTTCCTGAATGGCTCTCTGAATACCAAAAAAAAGAAAAATCACCCTCGGAAAATATTGTTTTTACTGCTTCGTTGTGGGGCATATCGTCCACAACGTTGACTGATGTCATATCAGAGGGTTACCTCGATCCTTGCATTGAGAACAACGCGAACTTCGCGCAAAATGATGCGTTTGTCCAAGCCATGTGCTGAAGAAGTGCCATTTCTTGAGTGGTTTCGGTGGGTGAACCTGAGAATGACGCAGTGGCCTAGTGATAAGGGATGGATTGCAGTTGGCACCGAAACGCTAGGGTTGTTGGTTTGACTTCTTTCGGTGTTTGCGTTTTGCATTTTTGGCCGGCACCTCAAAATGGTTGCCTAGTGGTACCAACTCTATGTTAGACTCCACATTTGGTTAGGGTCACAAATATAACCTCACTAGGTTGAATTTTCTTCAACAACTGTGGGAAACATGTCGTGGGGCCAAGATTACGCCAAATTGCGCTGGCGTCAAAAATATGTCATCTTCGTGATCAGGGCGCTGATCTAATCCTAACACCGAAGTTTTGGGGAGAATCGAGATTTTGACTCGACTTCGAAAAATTGGACCGGCTGTAAGGACAACCTGACATATGTCTCTGGACAGCTTGGAGACATGCCCGGAAAATCAGGGTAACCCTTGTTATAGAGAGGAAATCAACGTATTTTCTCAATAAGACACGTGTCACACTTACCTGCGTTCTTGGAACCAATCTCGATACCGACAAGAGGCCTAGCCAGGGACAGGATCAAAACTGCAACATGCTCCCACTTGACGGGAGGAAAACCTAGCGATCCATCATCACCGGCTTGCGTGTCTGCCATTCTTCATTTAGGTTTGAATTCGTTAAAATTCGTTACCTAGAGTACGACTCTGGTTGACAAGGGAACCGCCTTGAATCATCCACCTACCATCAAGCCTGACGGCTATTGACGTATATGGTCCAACCGTCCGAAATCGAGTCAAAATCTTATTTTCTCTGAAACTTCGGTTGTAAGGGTTATTCAGTGCCCTGATTACGAATATGAAATTCGTTTTTGGCGCGGCCGTCACCTGAAGCCGCTATGGCACCATTTGGTGCCACAATGGTGCCCTTCGGGGTCACAAATCCCAAGACTACTTTTTTTGAACAAAATCTAGCTGTAAGAGTTGCCAACGGTCCTAATCATGCAAATGACATCCATTCATAGCGATCACGCTATTTTGCGCAAATTCTGAGATTCCTATTCGAAATGCAAAAATTTGTCATCGCAAGGATTCGAACCACGGACCCCTTCATCACCCCTTTTTTGGTATTCGGGGGTCGTTCAGGAAAAACGAACCATGGTTCTGTGGTTCCCACATGTGCCTCTATGTCATGCAAGAAACCATTTTGAAAAAGCTTGCACGCCCTGAAAGACCTTCCTGGTAAGCCACTGGAGCTGAAATACCAGAGGAGGGTATGGGGTGAGAGAGTGCCAACAGATGGGAGGGCGCCAGACAACAGCTTTATGAAGAACAAAATCGGAGCTGATTTTACTCTGCAAAGCCCAGTGCTCCTGTCGAGTAATTTCCGTGCGCGGGAATCCACATCCTCCATCCTGTGGTTGTCCTCCAGTGGTATAACATATACACATGAGGGAGTCCTTTGCATGACTCGGCCCTCGGGCTGTGAAAACTTTAAGGTCGTTATTTTTGCAATCTAGCCAAACAATCGTCTTTCTCCCTCCATTGAAGGTGAAAAGTCTGGTTGGATCAGGCAGCGGGCCGGGATTCGATTACATGAGCAGAAAGGTGTGCATGGTCAACCTTACCGCTGGTACTTTTTGGGAATTTTTACGATCCCCTTTTTTCGGGGCCTTGATACGGTCCTCTCTCTATAAGCGTTCGATTGTGGAAACAATAACTGGCACATGGAAGAGTAAGAAACTCGCAGATTGCGATACCTCCCTTCTTCCCTGGGCGTCGCTCTCTTGGCCCCCATGTATTGACTAGGTAGAATCTCAATGTGAATTCCAGCCTTTCCTTCTTTGGAGAGTCATTGACGGCCCTCCAAAACGAGAGTTGGTTGGTGTGTGCTCGGTGAGGCTTATAAGGTATCATGAATTCAAATCATGCTTTCTGGCTGAAAGTCGCCCAAAGCATTTCCTTGAAATTTTGTTCTGATAGAAATACCACATTCCTACTTCTGCTGACACATGTGTGAGTTTCTTGCAATCTTTCTTCATGGTCAATAGCTTGAGAAGCTGAAGCCACTATGAGAAACGTCAAAGTTCAAGCTGTCTAAAAAATCATGAAATTATTCAAATTTTACCGACTGAAGAATTAGCCCCTTTGGAAATAAAACACGGTTTTTTTTCTAATGGTCGTGTCTTCTTTCACAAACAATTTCCTGGGAAACTTCGGGTGAACTAGAAAACTACGAGCATACGCTTTCGAAGATCTGCTCAAGCGTTTGTGGAAATCTGTTCCACCGAAAAAAATTCCGAGAAGACCTTCCTTCCTACTACTGCTACCTTTCTCCGTTTCATTAGCTTCAAAAATATCAAAATCCGTTTGGGACAGTCCTTTGTCAGTGATATTTGAACTGAAAGCGCTTGCGCTAGCAGTCCCTGCCATGGTGTGCGCTGCGTCTGCGTTGTGTTTCTCAATCGCTTTCTCAGTTCAGAGTCGACGTCGATGTCCCATGCTAATCACCGCGGCTACGACCCCCTCCCACCTCGTGAACCATGCGGTCCCATTCGTTGGTAGTCGTGCCAACATTCAGATGACCTCTACTCGACCTCTACCTCTACCCCTACCCGCTACATACCTCTGCATTACCTTCTTTACTTTTTCCTTTTAGATTACAAACATAATAGGTTTGAAATTTCAACAAGAGCTTAGCTGAAACTTCAACGAATTTTTTGATTTCAAAACGAGCTAGTCTTCAATTCTCTGTTGGAGTTATCTATTTTCGCAGTTAACGACATTTTAGACTCTGGAAGTGAATTTCAAGTCAGAATCTTTTTACAGTTATCACAATTAAATGTCAAATTACAGAGATTGATACTCTCTACGCGTCTTTTCTCTCACTATCTTCGCTGTTTACGGCAGTTGTCGCATGCCTGGCTGTGCTACAACTTTACTATGTCTACAAATATGTTAGCAATACACGAATACAAGCGGATCTCTATTATTTGGTACTGATGTTTCCGGTGAGTTCCGTCAACTCTTAAGATCTGTACCTATAAAACTAATTTTGAAGGATTTGCAGATCACAACAGTGTGCAATTTGGCAGGAATGTTTATACCACGAGCTGCACCGTTCCTATACGCCGTCGCTCTTGTGTGAGCTGGTCTACTTTAAGACCGAATTTATCTTCTTTTGCTTTTTTGATTTTAATAATTCTTATATGTAGATATTTTATGTTCTGTCTCTTCGTGGTTGTGTCCTTGCTGTTCAATATTTTTGGGAAGTCGAAAGGAAATGTCCGACTATTTATTGGAGAGGTACTGTAGTTGAAGCTACCTCGACACATTGACAAAAGCAGTAATTTTTGATGCAAACCTGTAGAAGAGGTAAAGATGTTCACAAAACGTCATCATCGTATATAAAGGGTTTTGTGCAGAATCGGCATGTGGTTGGTAATCGGCAGATGATTCCACTGCAGCACGCGCTGTCTTTTCCGATGCACTACTACATCCCCCCTTCTCCCATCTACTACGTCCCCCTTCTCCCAGCCATCCCAGATCCGTTTTCAACTCAGCTGTTGGAGCTTTATCTAGTCATATTTGCGCCATCCATTTCAAACTGCTGTCGACTTGCTTGCTGTACGGTGTTCTTGCCCACGCTCATCTCACCATCAGATTCGTTCTCTTGTTTTTCAACCTTATTCTAAAAGTAATTGCCTTCGCAATTAATCATCATCTAGTGTCCTGGTGTGAGGAGCTGCTGAAATTGAATGGTATTTGTGTAGCTTTTTACTGCACAAATATATCTAGGAGGACAGCCGATCCTTGCCCCATTGTTGACATGTGCATCCAGGATTACAGCGTATGACCGCACTTCCCGTTGGAAACTGTCACACCAATCGGAACCGACAACTCGTCAAATCGGCTCCATCCGAATAAAGAAAATTCATGCGGGCTTCACAATAAGAGGTTATGATCTGGAATGCGAATGCGAGTGCTGTGACGTTACCGCATTAATACTAACAACAATAAATTACTTGGGGTCACTTTTTGCAACAAAAAATGAGGTACTACTTTTCAAGGGTGGATCCTCAATGCTGCATAAAGCGTTACGCCTGACGTATACGTATGCGTGCCTATCCCTTGATAGTAGATTTGGCATTACCTGTAGTGTCAGGCTGAGAGCCGCGGTCAAGTTATGAGATGGTATGTGCATGGAGTCAAGGATGTTTAGAGCTTCACATAGGCTAGGCCGGCTGCGTGTAACTCCTTCAGGGTTGGTCACCGAACTTGGTGGTAGGGAATGTAAAAATTTCTAGTTTTATCTGAAACAGCACAGAGACTAGGAAAAAATAGGTAAAGAAGATGAGTAGGTGGTAGATGATAGGAAGGGGATCAACAACCACATGATGGGCGGAGCTCAATACGAGTACTCGTTTGAAGTCTAGAATTCGAGGTGAGCAACATAAGTTGTGGTAGGCAACAAGTTGTGGTAGGCACGCCTCAAAAATCCTGGTTGCTCTGCCTAGGTCCCTAAAGCCCGCACCGTATACATTTTATGCTGAGTCATACTACTTCATCGATGGTACGTAAGAGCAGCAAATGTGGCCATAAAATGTTATCTAATCGTGAAATATTATCCGATCGCCTTACCCATTGATTTATTATTGTATTCCAGGAATATCCGCATCTCTCTTCGTGTCCCTCCACTGTGTTGCGTGAAACTGCTCCCAGACATTCCAAGCACAGAGTGAGCTATTTAATTTGCAGGAATACCCCTTTGAATTTGTTAGATTTTGTGTCTTGCAGGAAATCTTTGAAAAATGGAGTGAAGTATCAGGAGTAATATGAGCTGGCGAAAAAATCTTATCGTTAGGTCTTTTGTCGTTTTTTAACACTTCACTTTTGAAGGTGTTGTACTTTCTTTTGACTCCAAAAAACTGCCATCTTTCCATGATAGGTGCATATTGGAGAGCTTTTCTGTTCCGACTAATAGTGAGGCACCCCTTTCTTAGAGGATTTTGTTACCCTTTCCAAGGACTTGGATATGGCATAGTAGTCAAAGAGCAGGTTGGCATTTTCTTTTTCCTGCTCAAAATAGACTGGAAAAAAGGAAGCGGGTTAGAGTATTATATGCAGATGCACGTGGCTCTAAAACAGTTGTCGAAGAAGTTCTTGTAATGGACCGAGAACAAGAGCAATCCGGCAATCTGCATGACATTATCAGTATCGCTTACATCACAGTCTACAGTGGAAGAAGGATGGCGAGAAGAAAGACGTTCTGGGCACGGCGAACATCAAAAGTTTTCATTTCATTTTCCTTACACTATCATCCTTGATTATTGTTTCATAGCGAAGCATTAATGAAATGTCCTCCCATAAGCAGAACTTCCTTACACGCTATCGCCACTAGGCCAGAATATGAACCATCAGTTGTCGCCATAGAGCTAGTGGCGGCCTACACTAGTTGCTGCACCACGTTCGCAGGGCAGATTTGATCTGATCGCATATGTGGACGGTTTTTGGTGAAATTCCTTCAATAGATACAGATCTGCTCTCCAATGT